GACCCCCTGGCCCCTTCTCCGGCCCTTGCTCGTGCCCGGCTCCCGGCGAAAAGGGCCCCGCAGAGCCCGTACTGCAGCCGCCCGTCGGCACTCGGGGCAGGGGAGGGGCGCAGCCCGGCAATGGTTCCGGGCGGCAAAGGCGGACTCTGCGATAGCAGCTCGGATCGGGGAGCGGCGGCGACGCGGCGGAGGCGGCTCGGTGGTGGGGAATGGGAGGGCGCGCAGAGCCCGCTGCGGGCTCTCGACGCCTCTTCCCCCGCAGCGTTTCCCGCTTCTGCGGGGACTTGTCCTGCCCCGACTGGCCGAGATCAGCACCCTGGCCAAAATAGTGAAGTACCCGCGTCCCCCTGCCCGCCCTCCGCCTGTTGCGGGCCCGCTGCTCGCCCTCCTTCTCCCCCACGGTCGTCCGATTTTATAGAGGAGAAAATAATATTGACTTTCACATTCAGAGATCAGCTTTTTGCATCACAAGTATTTCGATATGGTACAACTTACTTTTAACTGCTTTGTACAGCATAATTTTTTTAATAAAACCCCTACCTACTAACAACTAGAAAATAAGAATCCCCTTTATTTTATACTATATTTTAAAACTTCTATATTTCTATTTTTTATTTTTACAAGTTTTTGTCTATTATATCACAATATATTGATGTACTCTATTTAGATTCATAATATTTATGACATATAATGTGCTATAAGAAGACATATACAGTAAAATATACATTATGAACTATATTGATTCCTATTATTTTGTTATATTTATATACCCACATGTATTAATTATACATCTCTTGATGGATATTTTGTTTATATTTATAATCTATATTTATATGTATTTATATAAAGATATAAAATACTCTATAGCAAACAATATTATATCTAATAGTAATAGATAACATTATTCATGTTACATGTTTTATTTATATATTTTCTGTTTATATTTAAAATTTAAGTTTTTGTTCCCATTTTCATATTTATGCATTTGTTTTGTTTCATTAGATCTATAGTTAAAACTTTGCAGTAAAAATCCAATTCCTAATAATAAAATGCCAAAACAAACAGCATCGAATTCCCAACAATACCGTCCAAAAAATTCAGAAAGGCTCCACCAGCCAACCAACTACCAGCAAAAAAACCCGCACTACACTCCTTTCACTAGCAGTTCTTATCACATCACAAAAATGAAACAAACATTTTAAAAAAGACCTATAGAAACCCACAGAGCAGATGACAAAAACCACTAAAACAAAACAAACAAACAAAAAAAAGAAACGCCAACTAACTTACTATACTCCAAACAACACAACAGACCCCGAACGTTTCTTAAAAAAAAAAAAAAACCAACCAAAACTCTACCACGACACTAACTCATAAAGAGAACCCAATACTCTATAAAATGAATTAAAAAACCCCACCAAATAATTACCGATGTAACAATATCGGAACCACGAAGAAAGAAAAGATTCACCACCGAAATAAAATAACTACCTAAAAAGATCCACCATAGAAATACCCACGTTCCCAAAAGTAAAACTAATAAAAAACAACAACCAAATACATCAAAATACCAAAAAAACCAAACACATCAACAACAACAAAATAATTATTCCTTACTCAATAAACCCATAGTGCCTCAAACCATCAAAACACAAATACCACAGAGAAATAAGCACGTCGCCAAAAGAGAAATGCAACCATAAACAACAACTCCCAAATTCCCTGCAACAATAAAACACACACGGCAAGCAAATAAGCCAAATGAATAAAACCCCTATAATATAATAAACAAGAATACAATCATCAAAATAAAAAAAAAAAAAACCTAACTAATTAAGTACAGGACACTACCTCAAGCCACCAAAACAAACACTACGCACTCACGCCAATAAAAGCCTCCACAACCGAATTAAAAACCTACCCTCTACTTCATGCTACGACCCAGAAAAACCATTGTAAGCCTTTAAAAACACATCCTTTAAAAACATAAGAAACGATCAAAAAGAAATCCAACAACAACACTCAAGCCAAAAAAACCCTCGTCATCAGCGCCTGAAGCGAGAACCGTAACAACCAAAAAGTGCCCCACGGCCCTTCTCCTACACCAACTCCGGACAACAGAAAACGATCCAATGAGTTCCCCAGAACCACCTCACAGCCACCCCAGGCAGGAACGCTGGAAAATGAGAAGCCGCGCTCCCGGCAGGAAAGCGGCTCCTCGGGCAGGCAGAGGCGGCGCCGCGCCGGGAGACCCCCGCCCGCTCCCCCCGGCCCGGCGGGCCGGCACCGGGCCCGGGGGGCCCCGGCGGCGCCCGAGCCCCGCGCCCGGAGCGGACGGAGCGGCCGGCACCGGCCGGCACCGGCGCAGCGCCCGCGCCGCCTGCCCCGCCCGCCGGCCCGGCCAAAGCTCCCCTCGGCTCCGCACGGCTCGCACCGGCGCGGCTCCGGCAGTCCCGCGGCAGCCCCGCCGCGCCAAACTCCCCTCCCGCCTCGGCCATCCCCAGCCACTGCCAGCGGGGCTCCCGCGCCGGACCCTTCGCTGCCGGCCCAGGGGCAGAAGCGCCCCAAATGCAGCGGCGCAGCCCCATGCCCACCCTGCCAGCGCTGCCACAGCTGCGCCTCCCTTCCTTTGAAGCCCCGAAACTGACGCCACGCTCGGGCGCTCACCCCACTGCAACAAGGGCAAAGAAATGTGGGCTCCCCTTCCATCGCATCCCCTAGAAATAGAAAAGAAGGGGCTTGCCTCAAATGATGGCAAAAGGCAGAATTTTACCTCAATCCAAACCCCTTAAAAGGAGGGACAACAGGGCAGCCCCCTCATTTCAACTTCAGCAGGACGAAATTCAAAAGGGAAAGGAGAAAAGTCCCCACTACAAAGGCGCACCGGCTCACCTATTTGGCCGCTGCTTCTCGGCACAAAGGTTTGTCCCTCGGCTCCTCCTTCGAGCAATGCTCCACGTCCCCAGGTGCGTATCCAGGTGATCCCCCGGACCCTGTCCGAAGCGCTCACCGTCCTTCCATGAAACAGCCCCGGGAGCCCCCCATAAACTCCTCTTCTCCAGCAGCTCTGTGCAAAAGCCAGCGGCGGCAAACCCTCGCCCTAAAACAACCTCCCCCCGGCAGGAGCCGCCCCCTCCCTCCTCATCCTCACAGCTTGCACCTGGGGCTGCTCTGAGCCCTCCTCATCCTCACAGCTCGCACCTGGGGCTGCTCTGAGCCCTCCTCATCCTCACAGCTCACACCTGCGGCTGTTCTGAGCCCTCCGCATCCTCACAGCTCACACCTGTCACAGTTGCAACTCTCCAACAGCGGCTCTCCTTCTCCAGCACACACCCACTTCTCACAGACACAGATCCAACAAAAACCTGCTACGGGTGTTGGCTTTTCTTAATCCCTCTGGTTACACGATTAAAATACATACACATACCATACATCCTGTTCTAGTTTCAGTCACAAGCCCAGCCTCAGCATCCATGTCAGAGGCGTAAAGGGATGTCGCCGCAAGAACCCCACAGTCCCAGTGCCAGCCCTTCGGTTCCTATGGTGTGTGCAGTCCCTTTGCCAGCCCAGCAGTGATTACAGCACCCGCCCTACAAATCCCCTTTCCCAGCCCCAGTGATTTCAGCTCTTGAACCACAAGCTTTATTTCACTGCCAGCTCTCTTCTTCCAGCTCCTGCTCTGCGTTTCTCCAGCATCACAGGGGTGATCTTGGCTTCGGCTCCAGCTCTGCAGCACTTCAGCTCATGCCCCAGGGTCTCTAAGCCCACCCCACCATCAATATCCCACCCCGCAGTGATTTCAACTCCCGCCCAGCAATGCCCAGTTGAACCCTGAGGTAATGGGCCATTCCAGCTACGTACACTCTGCAACAAAGAGGAACAATGTCAAATAGTTAATGAACTGAAGATAAAGATTGTGCCACTAAAACTTGAAGGAAAAAGATATTTTGTGTGGTGTGTGTGTGCTGGGAGGGGGTGTTACAGACTGAAAAAGAGATACCAGGTACTTTTTTCCATTTCCCTTGACTGTATTCAGATAACTGAAAAAAAAAGAAGGAAGAGTACTCTGTATTTCAGTCAAATATCAAAAACCTAATTCTAATCTCTATCTGTATTCTCATGTCCCTATGTAACATGGAGACCCCAAATTCTCCAAAGGCTCTGACCCTGGACCAATCTTAAACAGAGACATGCTGTCTAGCTGGCCCTTGTCCTTCAGTACTCCTCTCATGACAGAGGCATGAACACTTCCAACCTGAAGAAAAGGACAATAAGAGCAAGCTAAACAATTCTACAGCCACATTAACTAGGAACAATATGCTCCTGAGATCTCAGAGAGCTGCTCAGCTTGCAAACCTACAAAAGGAAAGTCTGCCATCCTTCAGAACATGGATCCAGGGAGCTTAATCTAAATGAGCACTATCATACCCATCTGCTGCTAATCATAAATACAGTACTTTTTTTTCCCAGAGGTAACAATTTTTGGGAATCATGGTCTTTCCTGCAAAACAGTTATTAATAAACTGACAATCATAATTTTAAGAGTAGCGATGTGATATTCAGTTTAATAATTGCATCCTGCTTTCTGAAATTGTATTTTAATTACATATAGAAAGATTACTAATTTTTGGCTTCAGCCTGTGCACTAACAGTAAATACCAACAACTGCCATATACAAACTGCAAATTGGCTATGAGTTAGCAATTCCTATTTTTATTTCAGTTTTGTAATGAAAAGAGGACATTGAAGTGTCCTTCAGTCATTTCTCTGTATAACTTCCTTTTCACTGAAATTATAGATTTCTTCTAGTTCTATCTATTCAATCAGTTGAATTCAGGAGCAAAATGCAACACGGGAAATGAAAATTACTAGGACAGTTGTTAATCAACATGAATCTTAACTGTATTACAATATTTGAATTTCCTGACTCAAACCAGTTTTTATCTTTCTTTTTTTCCTCAGGTTTCCCTGAAACTGTCCTTCGCATCTTGCAAAACTGGAATATTCCCTATTCCCTACTGTCAAGTTCATCGATCCATTTTGGCAATTTTGATTTGGGTGTCCCAGATGATTTTATGATTTTTATATAATTTTTTTTTCCACTGAGAGAAACCGTGATATGCAAACCTCATATAACTGTTTAGTGCTGTATTACCACAAATTCACTTTCAGTGCCTGACAGGTAAATGATCCTACAAATTAGCACCCTCATTTATTTTAAATGCAAATCCATCTGCATTGTAGATTTGTCCTGCAGACACTATCAATCCATTTACCAAGTGACAGAATTTTGTTATTCAGTAAAATGTAGCTGCTTCCCAGATAAAAAAAAAACTATTTATTGACAACGGAAACAGTCTTAGAATTATCCTCAAAATTTGTCATAATCTTCCAACGGATTTGAAATCCTCCTTAGTTTCAGTTTGATGCTCTTACAAGACAAACTTTCAAAGATGTTAAAAAAAACCCCACCCAAGAGTGAAATCATACCTTGGTGCTTGTGCCTTGGGATGGGGCTTGGGAGCCCTTTGCATTGGAGGAAGCAGCTTCTCAGCTGGTTTGGAGGACATCAGACTCGCTGCGGGAGGCTGACTGCGCAGAACGGAGCACAGGCAAAGCTGCACAGTCTCCTTCAGAGCTTTCAGCTGGGACTCCTGGGGAAATAAGAAACCATCACTTCTCTGTGATGTGCTGTGATGAACACAAGGGCTTACATTCTCCATCTGTATTAAACCAAACACTTAGGAGTAGCTGCTGCTTTTTCTTATTGATGGAAGGAATTAAGACTGTCTAAAGCAGTATTTTTATGTGATTAGGTTACAGTACATTAGACACCAAACTGCCTAGGAAGTCACTGCACTCTCTTCCCATCCCTTCAAGCAGTTTTATCCACATTGATTATTGCAAATAGTACTTAAATATATTTTTTTCTGAAAAGAAAAATACTATTTACAAAATATCATACGGTGTCCAGCCTTTTATGTATAATATCTACAGAGAAGTCATAAGTATTGCAAGACACAGACTTTGCATGGAGTTTTGTCTATAACATTCCAAATAATTGGTGTTTTTCTACATTATACATAGATTATAATCCAATTAAGATGGCTTCCCTCATGGGCATATTATACTTTTGCACTATATAGTAAAAAAACCATAGGTCTTTTTAACAGTTAAAAATATGTTTGTCCAGACCCACTACTGTCCATTAAGCCAAAATAAAACTTCTAAGTGGTGAAGTGCTTGCGACTCTTGTTAGAACATTTGTGCTTTACTCCCAGAAAGATAGACAGATATATTGATGGAAACAGAAGTCTGTAATTGAAATAAGCTGAGAAAGCAAGAACAAGGAGATAACTACAGCAGTGAGGAAATCATATTTTAAATCTTTATTTCATCAAAGCAAGACATGTATCAAATGTTAGCCATTGAGGTCAAATCTTACACTCACTCCAGGGGGAGTCAGCAGCATTTGGCATTAAAAAACGATTTAATTTCTAGTTTTCTTCTTTTTATTAAAAATACACCTGTAAATACAGAATGCGTTCACATTTCAATCATCAAAGATTTTTTTAAAGGTATATAAATCAAAGGATACCATGGCAAAAGCTGGTGGAAAACATATGTAAACATGGTGGAAAATGTGTATATAACATTACACATTACATATAATGTATGTGAAATATTGCATATAAAATAAAAATATTTCATAGTCATATTAATCCTAAGCAATGCCATACAGCATTTTAGTTTATTTTCTTAGCAAATATTTTTGAGAAAATTACAAATATTTTTTTAACTCAGATAAACTTCCCCTGAACTGAAAACAGGGAATTTATCTCTTAACTGGAAAAAACTAAATGTTTCTTTAAAAAACAAACAATGCCAGTTAGTAGAAGTGTATTTCCACAGGAGGACAAAAGACAACCATAGAAAGATCATTAAAGCAGAGCACAATAGGAAAAATTAGAGATATGGGAGATGGAACATGTTATGACCTGCCCTTTAAGGTAAGTCATTAACTTAGGTTCTTGTTAATAGATCCCTTGGGGCAGATTAGAGTGAAAACCACAGAATTACCTGTGTTTTACATATATGTAAATGTTTTATTGTAGAGCAATTTGGTTGCAGATGAAAGCAAATATGTAACTGTTTTGGTTATTACCTACAGTAACAAATCAATATAAAAGCATAAAAATAACACTTAAGAAAATGAGGAAGAAGTTCAGGGAAGGGAGAAAAAGAAGGGGAAGGGAAAGGGGAAGGGGAAAAGAAAGGGGAAAAGGGGAAAAGGGGAAAAGGGGAAAAGGGGAAAAGGGGAAAAGGGAAAAAGGGAAAAAGGGAAAAGGGAAAAAGGGGAAAAGGGGAAAAAGGGGGAAAAGGGGAAAAAGGGGAAAAGGGAGAAAAAGGGGAAAGGGAAAAAGGGAGAAAACGATAAAAGGGGAAAAGGGGAAAAAGGGGAAAAGGGGAAAAGGGGAAAAGGGGAAAAGGGGAAAAAGGAGAAAAAAGGGGAAAAGGGGAAAAGGGGAAAAGGGGAAAAGGGGGAAAAGGGGAAAAAAGGGGAAAAGGGAAAAGGGGAAAAGGGGAAAAAGGGGAAAAGGGGAAAAGGGGAAAAGGGAAAAGGGAAAAGGGGAAAAGGGGAAAAGGGGAAAGGGAAAAGGGGAAAAGGGAAAAGGGAAAAAGGGAAAAGGGAAAAGGGAAAAGGAAAAAGGGAGAAGGGAAAAGGGGAAAGGAAAAAAGAAAAGGGAAAAAGGGAAGAAGGGGAAAAGGGAAAAAGGGAAAAAGGGAAAAAGGGGAAAAGGGAAAAAGGTAAAAGGGAGAAAGGGAAAAAAGGAAAAAGGAAAAAGGAAAAAGAAAGAGGGAGGAACCATAAAAGTAAAAAGATATCACCATCCCTGGATCCAGTTATGAGACTTAGTCGTTGCAATTTTGATGTCCATCGGAAAAAGTACTTCTTTTCAATGTAACATCTCTTGAATTCTACCTTTTCAAGTTAGTGACTGCACAGACAGCATAAATCACCATTTGTTATGGTTAAATGGGCAGAGGTAGCAGACTGGCTAATTTTGCATGATGATATGGACTCAGTCAATCTAGTCTGATATAACCCTAGTGCTTCCTGCAGATGGCACCAATCTGAAATTACTCTCCTCTCATCCAGAAATTTCTCTGGATAATTTCTCATCTCTTAATCCTGCTATCCAGTGCTTATTCTTTCTTGACAGCAGCCATTCCAATTTTGCCATTTCAAAGGTAAAAGAAGAACAAGTAAATTTGTTTCCATCCTGTGAATAGCATAATTCAGTATTGACTTTGCTGATAGGAGATCTATAAATGAACACCAGGAAAGCACAGGTGAAGGAAACACTATTGGAACCAGGGATGTAATTTGACAAAGTTTGCTATAACCTTGCCTAGATGTGATTGTGATCAAAATAGGCTGCTTACCGGCCAAAATGCTGCCCACATGTGATGCATTCTTCCTATGTCCCTGATCTATTTCAGTCCTATCACATGGCTAGATCCACAGAATCATCAAGACTGGAAGAGACCTTTAAGACCATCTGGCAACACAGCACCATTTTAATCACCCCTAAACCCAAGTGCCACATCCAGATGCCTCTTCAACACTTCTACAGGTGGTACCTCCACAACCTCCCTTGGCAGCTTATTCCAATGCCTAACCACTTCTGCAGTGAAAATAAAATTTCTGATGTCTAATCTGTATCTCCCCTGGTACAACTTAAAGTAATTTCCTCTCATCCTTCCACTTGAGACATGGCAATAAAAACCAACCCCTGCCTCATGATGGTTTCCTTTTAGACAGCTGAAGAGAACAATGAGCGTGAGCCTCCTCTTCTTCAGACCAAACAAGGCCAATTCCCCCAGATGCCCCCAGAAGACCTTCACCAGCGTCACTGCCCTTCTCTGAACTCACTCCAGCACTAAAATGCCATTTTTTAAGTGAGTGGCCCAAAACGGAACAGTATGTGAGGTGTGGCCTTACCAGTTCTGAGTACAGGGGGACAATCACTTTCCTGGTCCTACTGGTCACACTACTCTTGGTATCTGGGGCCTGGTAATTCAAAATTTGTAAACATTCTAAGGGTTCATGGTGGGAAATAGAAAACTGCTCTAGTGTAAATAAACTTATGACTGACACTAAGCCTACAGTCAGCACAAACTGTAGTTCAATAAATACCTAAATCTACTAAAATCAGTGCAAAAATTTTTTGAGCTTTTTTTTCTAATTTGACCATCCTCTTCTTAAATAACTTTGCAGATGTACTTAACTTCATGTATCATAATTAGTTCCACTGATTTCAGTAGCATCTCTCTCAGGTACAATTCATATGTAACTTAGTATTCATCTAAGTAACTGCAAGGCTTACATTTGTTTTTGTCAAATTCCACCAAAACATCCACAGCCGATATAGGTAAACATGCTTACATTACATGACACTTCTTACTTTGTCAAGGGCTGCGTTTTCCAATTTGTCTTTTGCAACAGATAGTTTTTGCTCCAGATCTGTTAGCTGTTGTGCCTGTGGGGATCAAGAAAAAAAGCTGATGCAATCTCCAATGCATTTTTTCATGTGAGAGAGGAAAGAACAGAAATTTTGCAAGTAATACATATGGGCTGGGTCAGATTTGCTTTTCCTGAGGAAAAAAAACCATTATGGCCAAATGTGCTCCATTGATGTGAATGCAAGCTTATAATAATTCAATGTCAATAGCAAAATTATTTCCATACTATAAAATATTTAAGATTATGCCATAATATCCTTCTGGAAAATTCAAGGTATTCAAATGTCTTTTAATAATTTTGTTCGTTTGTCTGACTTCCGAGTGCAATTTGAAAATTATTTTGTAGTTTTAGGCATTGTGATGCCACCATTAAGCTAATTGGGCATAAACAGACAAATTAGAAAACACCCAAACATTCTTCTTGCATGCAGACACCTTATGAAATTATACTACCTACTACTATACAAGGAGGTAACTCCAGATTTTTTTTCTCCATGTCTTTTCCTGGAAATAGAGAAGGAAAATGCACAAGACTAGCTAACTCATAGCAGGAAAGCAATTTGGGAGACTTGTGTTGGAAGTCAGGATCAGGCTAGTAGCCTGCACCCTGAGTGGAAGGACTTCTGGCTCTGTATAATGTATATGTCATTCATGGAGCACAGGAGTTCAGCAGAAGCTTTTTAAGTGAGTGGCCCAAAACAAAGAGCATCAGAAGATGCTTTTAAATGTTCAGTAAATAAAGACAAGTATTTTCTCTCTCTTTCCCTAGGATATGTATGAACCCAGCCTGTTCACTTGAAGGAAATACATTCTCTGCAAGACTCTTCTGTTTCAGGAAAGCAGATTCCTGAAGTTGTCAGCCTTGTCATTAATAACACATTAGTATACAACCAAAAGGAATAAGGATTCTTTTGCTGTTGTACCTGCAAAAAACCCAGCCTAGCCATTGTTTTCCCTGTTTGAAAAGGGATCCATAGAGAAGGACACTGGACTAGCCACTTATCTTTTCTCTCGGAAATTCTGATTAGGTAAATATACATTTTGTATATGCAAAATAATAGGATAAAATTCTCAATTTTCAGATAAAGAGCACCACATTTTTATTTCAATATTTGCAAGTGCATTTTCCCTCAACACCATTCCATGCCCTCAGGCTTCTGGAGTACAATCCCAGCCAGAGATTTTTTCTTGGCAGACCTTTCAAGATCTCCTGCACGTTGCTGATTGTAGCATAGCTTAATGGATAGCCACACTACGTAAATGTTGTTTAGTGTAAATCCTGTAAGGTTAACTTGTTTTCTGCTGGGGTAATGACAGTCCTTCCAGCACACGGCATAGATGAGGTGGTGAGCTTAGGCACGCCTGTAGTCCTCAGCAGACAGCTAATGTGATGTTCATTTGCATTAGGCATAGTCTGTTCTGCCAAATGAAATGTCAAGAGTCTGGAATTTTCAGTTCCCAACTCGTGTAAAGAACTGAGTAGTTGCATTTTAAAACAGGAATAGGCATTTATCTTCAGATTTATCACCAGAGTCACAGTTTCATTAGTCAAAACCAAACTTTCTTCAAAGTGCAAGTCAACTGTGACGTGGGAAAGTCTCTTGTGAATTGCTGTCCATAATTTACACTGCATCACATTCCTTACAGCTAACATCAGTCACTGCCACAACATACATATCAGACCATTGGTTTGACCCTTTAGTCTGGCAACAGAGAATTCACTACAGAAATAATCCTTCCACTTTATCAGTTTGCAAAATTTAAGTGGAGTTATTACTGATTTACTAGAGAAAAAAATTACTGATATAAGAAATTGCTAGAATTCAGTAACTTTTTGGATTTTTTCCTAAATATGGTATACAGTATCACTCACAATAAACACGGCCACAGAAAATGTCTGAAAGACTGGACATTGACTCTATATGACGCAGAGACACTTCTCATAGAACTAGACCAAGAAATTTCTCACATCATTAACATTTTTATACTGTTACTTCTTATTTTTCAGTACAGCTATACAAATTAATACGCTCTCAATTAAAGAGAATCAAGATTTGAAAAACTGCATCATTTCAATTGCCACTAAAAAGGAAATTACACAAAATAACATATGACAAACATGAGGCTAGGATGGCACCTCTGATAGCGTGCAGAATTAGACTCAGATGGAAATGGTGAGGACCATACAACTAGGCAACTTCTTATTTCAGCACCATCAGATTTACAGTCTAAATCAGTGAAAAACCAGAGCTACAGTTATGAATTAGAGGGTGTCTGGTTTCCTTCAATACATGCATTACGTAGGCATCTGAAAGTCTTGGCAGTTGACAGAAAGCAGGCAGTGGTGGTTAGAATTGACTACTGTCTTGTTCTGGTTTGAAAACAAAACCAATGAGAGACTCCAAATCAAAAATACAGTTTATTAGGAAAAGTGAGAAAAGGAAACAAAATACCTGCAATAATACAAAAGAAAAACCACTGACAGAGTCAGAATATAACCTGATACCCTTTTTGGTCAGGGTTGGAATGGCTGCAGTCCTCCTGGAAACCCAGTGGAAAAGCCTGAGTTTGGTGTCCCAAAACCCCAAATTATATCCAGTAAGGAATGCTTGGCTTCTCCCTCTGGGTGGAGCATCTCACAATGGGATGCTGTAACTGTTATCAGTCATGCAGTGACAGTCAATAGCCCATTATCAGCTGTTATGCGGCATGATGAAGTCAGCCTGTAGCTTATAGAACTTATTATCCCTAATAATGTGTTGCAAGAGCTCTGGGAAAAAAAAAACAAAACAAAACAAACAAACAAAAAAAAAACCTCTACTATTTTACATTGCATTTATGTTTATAACTGGTATTTTATAATAGTTTTTTTAGTTCAGTCATGTCTTTTCTACACAGTTCTGGTAAACTTTCCAAGGGAGGCTGCACAAGATCCAGATGCTGAAAAACCACGCTGGATGAACAAACACACCCCAGACTAAAGATCCTGTCTGAAAGCAGTATTCTCTCAGGGAAGTTGGTACAACAGGCCAAAAAGGAAACTGTTCCCAGTTTTTTCTTATCATCTCCTTCGAAGACTGAACTACAGAAATTGTATTTACCATTACAGGGCAATGTAAAAGTAGCAACAAAGATAAGAGCATTCTTTCTGAGCTAGACACATAAATGCACAAATAAAGTTATAGGAAAGTGACACAGCTTTTTTTTTTTTTTTTTTTTTTTGAAAGCTTTCTGCAAGAAAAATAGGAGCTTAATGGTACTTTGAACATAATGAAGAATGCTTTAAAATCTGTTAAATGGACTAGTTTTTCACATATGCAAAGTTAGCTGAATTCTGCAGCTGATAATTTTAATACGTGCAGAGGCAAATCATGGGGGAAGTGGATGTACATGAGGTGCTTTAGGATCAAGCCTAGTCACCAGAACTATACAAATAAAACTGTATTAGAAAGCCTGAAACTTGCATCTTCATATATGTGCCAGTACACAAAGTACTTCTGTAAAAATTTATCACAAATTTAAAATATGTAATCAATTATCACAAACCCAGAAAGCAATCCTAATGTTTACACAAATTGTCTGCCAAAGCAGGTGGTTTTCTGCTTGTTTTTTTCCTTCCTTTGTTTTTCTTTTATTATTTCATCTCTTTCTCTGTATGTAATATGGAATCTCATTGCCTTCATTAGAGAAATAAATAATTTAAAATTCTGGAAAATCAGTTTACTGTGGCATGTAATTAACTTCGCTAATAGAGAAGGAAACACACACGGCATCAGTTTTACTTCAGAGGGAGGAATGGTACAGATATTTACCAAGTCCAGTCAATATGATGCAAAAATAATTTCACATAGTTTTGTATTTGACTCTATGTATTTGACTGCATCCCCAAGAACCACAAGAACTCTCTACCACCAGCACCGGACCTCAGAGCAGGACCAGACCTTTCCACAGGCTCACTGCTCTGACAAGACCACATCCAATGGGACTGCAACCACCATTTGGACTGCCACCACCACACTGACCAACAGGGTATCAGGTCGTGTTCTGACTTTGTCCCTTTAAACCAGTGTTTCTGTACTATTGCCATTATTGTAATTTTCCTATTAAATTGTAGCCCTGACTTGAAATCTTTCACATAGCACTTGTGTGGGGTTCATTCCCTCCACTGTTTTACCTTCCACTCAGCACAAGCAGATACTTTAAAAGTTTTCCAGACTATACTAAATGGCTTCTACTCTGCTTAGTGTGTGTGTGTGTGTCTTCAGACATGAAACACACATGAACAAGCACACTGAACCTACCCTCCCCCCCATCTCATATGATTTAGGAGAACAGCATAAGGCTGCTGCTCCCTCTGCTTCACAGATCAAATTTTCTTGGACAGGAAAAGTATTTATGAATAAACCAGCAAAAAATATTTCTGGTTACATATAAAGGATATACCAATATTGGCAAAGCAGGCATTCAGTTTCATACGGAATTGCACACTGTCAAGAGATATTTCAATTATTTACAGATAAATATATAATACATAGTTCTCAGTACGTGGGGCTTTGGAATTCACAATTCATCAACATTCTCCATCTTTGAGTATTTTAAATTACATAAGATCATAGCTTACCTAGAAGGCAAGTAACTCTCCTTATTTTGCAATAAAAGCACTCAGAGGAGAACCCACACTACCATTACCTACATCTCAGCTGGTGGTTCTAGTGTTCATTCATAATCAAGAAGAGTGGAAAATGGATTTGTAGAAAGTTCTCAGGGCCTGACAGAAGGTCCACACGGCATGCATCCATATGCAAACTTTGAGACAAGACATACTTATTTAGAAATGCCATGGAATAGGACAGATATTGTTGAGAGAGAAATGGAGCTAGAAACAAGTTTCAAAGGATGGCCTTGCAAATAAGACTAGATACTTTGGACAAACAGAACTATGAAAGATGTATTGTAGTGGGACCCACTTTAAGGCATCTACAACATGGCATGGCAAAAAGCTAGGCCAAGAAACACTTATAGTATATTTTCATTAGGAAATAGCTGGCTTCTGATTGTGATGGTGTGAATTACAAACATCTGCATTGTGTCACCCTTCTCATGAGACTGAAAATAGAATAAAAGTTTTTAAAACGCCTCTCAGTTGCCCCGTCTCTGGGTCAGGAAAAGGGTATTGTCCTATAAAGAACCATGTCTATTCAAAAAAAATCAAAGACTTGAAGGTGTAATTCATGTGGTCAAATGTAGACATAGCCTTCAGAATATAACCCGCCAAGGATTTGAAGTGGAGACTATGATGGAGAATGCCACATCCAGTCAGATGAAACCATTCCCATCCACAGGAGACACATTTCCTGCCTTTAGTACAGTTCCCCACATGTGTGCCTTAACTACTACACTGCCACAGGTCACTGAAGCAGCCTTAGGAGAGGGTGGCTTTCACTGCACGTGTGTCAGTGGCTTGCTGGACAGCCTTTCTGCCGTGTTCACTTGTTTATGTGCCCGTTTTCTTTTTCATCTTCTGTAAGCTTTTTTCAGGTGGGTAGTACTTGGCAGGAGTTCCCTTGCTAAGCATTAGTAGACACCCTACCATAACTCAGATCCTTTTTTGGGATCACTGTGTGTTAGCATAATGAAAACAACAGGAAGATAATAGTGCTGAGCAATCCTACTGCTTCAGCCAAAGAAAACAAACTTTCACAGCAAAGCAAGATTAGAATTTTTGATCTTTACCTCTGAAGAGTCTTGGACTAAACCTATGCATTAAAAAACAAAAACAAAAACCAAAACCCAAAAAAAAAAAAAAAAAAAACCAACCAAAAAAACCCCAGACAAAGAGCAAGCAAGCAAAAAAAAAAAAAAAAAAGCACAGAAATCACACTGTTGTTTCAATGGCCCACTATATTACTCTGTATTTCTCTGTATTTACGTATTCACAGCACTATAGATACACTAGAGAAACAGCAGAGAGAGTTAAAGGCTTCCAGAAGACAATCTGGAACTCGGTGACATGAATGACTTGTAAGTAATTCTAGGTCTACTAACTTGGAAGATGACTACTTCATGTCCATCCTTTGTGCTGGGAATATATAAAAGGACTACTCCACTAACAGTCATCAGTCAGATGACCCACATCTCTCTCCTCTTCCTTTTAACAGGGATTAGCTTCTCCCTGTGTTAACAAGGACTAGACACCCTTCAGCAATGTCTTTATGTTTTGTCCTGCCCTCCTTTATTGTAAAAATTTTTATTATTTTTTAAAATGTGCTAGCTAGTGCAGACTATTGATTTGGATTGTTTTAGCAGCAGATGTTTCTTTTTTCTTAAGTCTTAAGACCTAAGGAACACTACATTGCTCAAGCTTATCATGAACACAGAGATTTACTTTAAATGTTAACAATAGTTGACTTTGCCATGGAAGAGTGCTAATTAAAGGAAAAACAAGAAGCAGCTGTAAAATATGATATCATTCAGTTAAAAAGATGACGTTACAGAAGGTATGGAATAGGGCAACAGGTTTTATTCATCAGCAGTAACCTAGAATTTTGCTTTTTGCAAGCACAAAAATATATTCTATTTCTGAAAATCCATTATGGTATTAAGTCTGTCTTGATGTTTTGAGTTCTTTTCAGAACAAACTTCTTCCTGAGAACTGCAATAATAAAGGCAGCTACCATATTCCTACTTCGCTACGATGCTGTATAAATGCTAATATACTTTAGCTAACTATAGTGAAATAAAACTTACCTTAAAAATCAAATCCTTTTTCCCATAATGAAGCTCTTTCAGCTGGGCTTGGATCTTTTTTGACTGAAAATGAAGATAATCAAATCAGGTTTTGGGTTTTTTAAATTTTAAATATTAAAAAAATTATGTGAATTCTGAGAACAGCAGAACCTAGATCAGATTTATAATGTAGAATGTCCCCCTCCAAATAATTGTCGATTGCTTTTCCAGTTTCACAAGTCAAACCAACCAAAAGTACTGAGGAAAATGCAAAATGGCACACAACTAAAACACATACCTGAGTTAGGACTGTAAAGAACAGCAGCTGGGCTTACACATTTTGGACATGAGCTGTTATTAATACTTGCCATGAAGCATAACTGAAGGCATCAACTTCAAAGTAAACAATCTTATTCTTAGAAGCAAAAAGGCTCCATAGGCTTATAAAAGTCTTTGTAAAGATCAGGGTGTTGCAGGTGTAACTACTTTGGAGCTACCTTCTCAGTTTGTAACCATGCCCTTGAAAGTACAGGCATAGTTATGCTTATTTATATCAGTTTAAGCTGATATTTACTTTATATATTGCTAAATATATCCTTAAAATAATTCTAACTAGTAGTCTATATATTATTTTATTAATTGAAACAAAAGAAATAGAAATTGATTTTTTGTACTAAACTCAACTATTCAAGGAACATTATTTCAACATTTATCCAAGCATCCTCTCAAAGTAATAATTTGTTTTTAATAAAATACACAATCCCAACTGATAAACAAGACACTCTCTTGTATTAATTAATGCCAAGTGTTTCGAAGTCCTTGGAATGGATTAGAAATCTGTTTCACATTTACTGAAAGAGCATTCCATAAACATAATATATTACAAAAGGAGTATATCTTAAGTTGGAATTTTAAAAAAGATTTTATTTCTTACCAATTGATGCAGTCCAATTCAGTGACAGACGTTTGGGAAGGCTGAATAAATCTAAGGAATGGTATTCTGTAAAATCTGAAACTAATAGCAAAGATCAGTCCAGCAAAATTCTTTGAAACAATTTTGATTTTGAAAAACTTAAGAAAAACATTTCTAATCCTATTATTTCCTACCTTTGAGAATTTACCAGAAACTTGACTTTCTAAGTACTGATCTGAAAAGGCATAGACTCTAATGAAGAAAATGCTTTCAATCATCATTAGGAAAATTTTAGTACAGAGGAAATTTTTTATGCTTTGGTTTCTTTCTGGCAAGGTGCAATAACCTTAAGAGCAATTATAGATGCAAAAAACCCAGACTAAAGTAATGTGAATAAATCAGATTCACATGTATTAACTTTTTTTTTGAAATTAAAAGAGAAATAAAGGGAATGCTTATATGAGTGCAGGTACTTCTACATTGAGGAATTTGCCAAAGACAGGATCTTTATTCCCCTGAAATAAGGAAGCATTCTGGAAATCAGTAATAATGGATTGTTCCTGTCTCAACTTCAAAACAAGTCTTTGGCAATTCCTGGCTTAGTGTAGACAAGGAGTTCATGTAAATGAAATCAGTTTTATATATGTTATAGATGCATATATCTATAGAATTATATCATAGGCACGCCTAGATGATTTTATCAGTCTAAAACTAGAGTTTGCAACTTGCTTTCTAATACATTTGAACTGCTTCTTGTGAAGTCACAAAAATAAGTTTGGATGACAGCACTTCAGGAACACTCACCATATAAGCATTATATATATATATATATATATATATATATATATATATATATATATATATATATTTCGTACTCATATATGTTCTTGTGTATATATAAAATACACCAGGAACCCCAGTACAAAATACTTTGATGCAAATTTTTTTGGGTACATTAGATTTAGAACAGAGAGGAATCTTCCTTACCTCTTCTGCGTGCATAGCACCAAGCTTGTTTCCTGACCAGAGCTTGTTTTTGAGGCTCGGGCCGCCCGAGCCGCCGCCGCCCCCCGCCCTGCGCTCACAGACACCGCCCCGCGCGCCGCTCGCCGCGCGCTCCCGCCCCGGCGGCTGCAGTACCGCCCTCTGCCCACAAGGCGGCAGCACTTTTCAAGCGAGTCCGCCACCAGGGACTCGCAAGATGGCGGCCCGTGGGGACCTTCACGGAGAAAGGCGTATTACGCCGATGCCTGTCGGCCCCCGCCAAAAACCCGCACGCTCGCGGTGCTGCTGACCCCACAGCCCGTGTGCACGGCACCGGAACCGCCGCGGAAAATCCCGTCGGGGAGCGCCGGCGTTGGGGACAATTCAGGCAGTGTAGAAATCAGACACGGGTCCTCGAATGCCAACGTCCTCTTTTTCGCGCCATCTCGAGAAGGTCAAGCGAGCCCGCGACAAGCCACTCCCAAGATGGCGGCCGCGGGCGGCGGGCTGCAGTACCGCCCTCTGCCCACAGGGCGGCAGCACTGCCGCCCGCCACCGCCGGGGGCCGCCGCTCGCCTCGGGGCCGCGGGCGGGGCCGGCGGCAGAAAAGAACGGGCGCGATGCCCTCCGGAACCTGCCCTGCAGCAAATGCCCCAAAACATCCCGCGCGGAAAAGAACGCCAGCAAAAAAACCCCTGCCTCTAACCCAACAGGAACCAAAAGCAAAAACCTTCTCTTTTAAACTGCATTTCAAGCTATTTTATTTTTATATTTTTCATATTTATATTCACATTCGGATTTATAATGTATATTGATGTGTAATTGTATTCTTATAATTTCTTACATTTATTCCTATTATATTTTATTATATTTTAATATTATACACATATCTTAATATATTGCTTATATATTTCTACAGTTAGATTTAGATTTCTAAAAGGTTTATATGGCTTAAAATAAACACCCTGCCCCATCCAAGTAAAAATCTTTTAAAAAAACCCTTTCTTTTATACTGCGTTTAAATTTATCTTTGTTTTTCGCATTTATGTTCAAATGTACATTTTTAATGTAGATTGATGTAAGGTGTTATTTATAGTCTATCTCTTCCTAATACTTATTTTTATTTACATTTTATATTTTTATATGTATCTGTATACATTGAATATCTATTTCCATATTTAGAATGATATCAAAATAAAATGTATATTCATAGTTTTTCCATTAAAACCCTGCCTCTAACCAAATAAAAGCAAAAAAATTCCTTTCTTTAAACGCTACTTGAATATTCATATATTTTTTCATCATTATAGTCACATGCGCATTTCTCCTTTATATTGATGTATCTATAAATATATATTATATAGATAATAAGGTAGCAAGATAGATAAATTTTCATTTCAATTCTATTTCGTACATACCGCTAATACTTATAGTTACTTACCTTTGAGATTTTATATAGCTCTTAACGTATTTAGGATATATTTTTATACATAGATTTCTAATTTTATTTTATTTATATTTATAATTTTTACAATAAAACCCCTACCTACTACCAAATAGACAATTAAAATCCCCTTTACTTTAAACTATATTTAGATACTTCTTTATTTCTATTTTTGTGTTTTACAAGTTCTTATATATTCTATCACTATATCTTGGGGTACTACATTTCGAGCTATAATATTTATGACATATAATGTGTAATAATAAGACATATACAGTAAAATATGCATTATGTACTGTATTGATTCCTATTATTTTGTAATATTTATATATCCACATGTATTAATTATACATTTCTAGATGAATATTTATAATTATAATCTACATTTATATGTATATAAACATATAAAACACCCTATATCAAACAATATAATGCCTAATAGTAATGGATAACATTATTCATGTTGCATGTTTTATTTATGTTTTCCGTCCATATTTAAAATTGAAGTTTTATATTCCCATTTTCATATTTATGCATTTCTTTTGTTTCATTGGAGCTATAGTTCAAACTTTGCAGTTCTAATCCAGTTCCTCAAACTAAAATGCCAAAACAGCATCAAATTCCCAACAATGCCGTCCAAAATATTCAGAAAGGTTCCACAGCCAACCAACTACCGGCAAAAAACCCCACACTACACTTCTTTAACTAGCAGTTCTTATCACATCACAAAAATTAAACAAACATTTTTAAAAAGACCTATAGAAACACACACAGCAAATCACAAAAAAAAACATTAAGAAGAAAAAAAAAAAAAGCCAACTAACTTACTATACTCCAAACCATACAACAGACCTCAAACGTTTCTTAAAAAAAAACAAAAACAAAAAAAAACCCCACCAAAACTCTACCACTACACTAACTCATAAAGAGAACCCAATACTCTATAAAATGAACGAAAAAACCCCACCAAATAATTACCGATATAACAAAATCGGAACCACGAAGAAAGAAAAGATTCACCACCGAAATAAAATAACTACCTAAAAAGATCCACCATAGAAATACCCACGTTCCCAAAAATAAAACTAATAAAAAACAACCAAATACATCAAACTACCAAAAAAAATCAACAACAACAAAATAATTATTCCTAACTCAATAAACCCATAATGCCTCAAACCATCAAAACACAAATACCACTTAGAAATAAGCACGTCGCCAAAAGAGAAATGTAACCATAAACAACAACTCCCAAATTCCCTGCAACAATAAAACACACACGGCAAGCAAATAAGCCAAATGAATAAATCCCCTATGATATAATAAACAAGAATTCAACCATCAATATTTAAAAAAACCTCACTAATTAAGTACAGGACACTACCTCAAGCCACCAAAACAAACACTACGCACTCACGCTAATAAAAGCCTCCACAACCGAATTAAAAACCTACCCTCTACTTCACGCTACGACCCATAAAAACCATTGTAAACCTTTAAAAACACATCCTTTAAAAACATAAGAAACGATCAAAGAGAAATCCAACAACAAACTCAATCCAAAAACCCCTTGTCATCAGCGCCTGAAGTGAGAACCGTACCAACCAAAAAGTGCCCCACGGCCCTTCTCCTACACCAACTCCGGACAACAGAAAACGATCCAATGAGTTCCCCAGAACCACCTCACAGCCACCCCAGGCAGGAACGCTGGAAAATGAGAAGCCGCGCTCCCGGCAGGAAAGCGGCTCCTCGGGCAGGCAGAGGCGGCGCCGCGCCGGGAGACCCCCGCCCGCTCCCCCCGGCCCGGCGGGGCCGGCACCGGGCCCGGGGGGCCCCGGCGGCGCCCGAGCCCCGCGCCCGGAGCGGACGGAGCGGCGGCACCGGCCGGCACCGGCGCAGCGCCCGCGCCGCCTGCCCCGCCCGCCGGCCCGGCCAAAGCTCCCCTCGGCTCCGCACGGCTCGCACCGGCGCGGCTCCGGCAGTCCCGCGGCAGCCCCGCCGCGCCAAACTCCCCTCCCGCCTCGGCCATCCCCAGCCACTGCCAGCGGGGCTCCCGCGCCGGACCCTTCGCTGCCGGGCCAGGGGCAGAAGAAGCGCCCCAAATGCAGCGGCACAGCCCCATGCCCACCCTGCCAGCGCTGCCACAGCTGCGTCTTTGAAGCCCCGAAACTGACGCCACCTCCTTTGAGCAATGCTCCACCTATCCAAGTCCGTATCCAGGTGATTCCCCGGACCCTGTCCAAAGCGCTCACCGTCCTTCCATGAGACAGCCGCGGGAGCCCCCCATAAACTCCTCTTCTCCAGCAGCTTCATGCAAAAGCCAGCTGAGGCAAACCCTCGCCCTACCCTAAAACAACCCCCCCCCCCCCATTCGCCACCCACCCGCTCCCCCACCACAGTGTGCCTCCCTCTCCTAGGGACCTTGGGGTGCCCCAAATTACATCAGAGCCCAGAGTCTTCACCCCTTTTTCCTGATCCCCAAAGAAGGCACAGAATGAGTCCAACTGCGCAGGACAGCAGCCCAGCACTTCTATCTAACCCCTCTCACACACTACTCACCTTCTCCTCCACTGCATCTTCAGCCTCCCATCACTCCTCAGACTCCAGCTCCTACTCTTTTTACTTGCCCGCAAAGAAGGCACAAAATGAATCAAACTAATCCAGACTGCAGGGTGTTGCTTTAATAATGCCATTTACTTACATACAGCCCCCCTCCAGAAGAGGCCTCCATATAATTTCTTATATTCTAAAACCTTGTATAGAATAGATATATTTTTATTCTAAAATCCATTTATATACAAATATGGTTTTCTGTATACAAAAATGAGGCACTTTACAGGTTCTAATACATAAATGAGCATGAGCAGAAATTCTGTATTTATTTCAGACATGCTGATGCCCACAGTTACACAAGCACAGTGTGCCGGTAATAACATTATTATCTATATTTAATACTAGGATATTTTGAATGGCAATATGTAACAAACCAAGTATGTCTCATAATCTGCTATTCAAAGAAGACTAATTATAAGCTCATAACATGCAGCTTGGGATGTATCTGTAATTACCTCACTTCTGGTTAAACTACACCTCCTGACTGTAAAATCCCTGATAAATCAGTTTTCATCTATTACTCTCCAGGCTAAAATAATTGTGATAACATAATGGCATTAGCATTTAAAATTATATTCTTGCATATATAACACAGACCTTTATCCAATATCAAAAGGTACTGAGAAGCTATTTAGTCTGCTTTTTTATATTCTGTGAACACAGCAAATTACCATAACTGTACTGTTGCTAAAATGTAATTTTAATGTATCCAATTTCTAGAGAGTATACATCATTCAAGGACAAATATTTGCAAAGGTCTGGGTTTACTTCTAATTTCTTGCAAAGAATGATCTCTAATCAGCTGCATATATTTTAGTATCCTTAAGTACTGATATAAAAGTATGTATTCATTTGTACTTGTAGTTGACTTGCTTTAATAAAGTACAGAAAACTTTGCTGTCATTCCTCAGAAAAAGAGTTTTGTGAAGAACAGCTCTATTATTTCTGTATGACTGCTATATATGATAATGTATGATCCAAGTGATTACAGAAGAATTAATCTAGACTTACAGCAGGTCTCAGAATTTCACACATAGATGTTTCTTTAGGATGTGTTTTTCTATGGAACGCAATTCAGCAGAAATAAACGTAGAAGGAACACCTGGAAAATTTTCAGTGTTGGTATGACTACAGGGCACACATCATTATTTTCAGGTCTCATCACTGTAAACCACAAAGCATCAAACAACCTCAAAAAGCAACAGACTGAAGACATCAGTTCATTGCCTCCAGGAATGCAGCACATACAAACAATGAGGGTCAGTCTGACAATTAGCACTGCAAGTGCCATTCACATTCCTTTTTAGTTGTTGTTGCAAGACTAGAAAAAGCAGTTTTCATACAAAAAAAAAAACAAAAAAACCACAAAAACCAAAAAACAAACAACAAAAAAGGGACCAAAAGTAGCCTTAGGACATAGGTAAAGGCACCACAATACACAAAAAGAACTTGTCAGGACAACACAAAAGCATCCTTCCATGTCTCATGGGCAAGGTAACAAAGTCTCACAGGCGGCCTAAACTGCTTTCTGCTAAAATACCAAAGCAAAAATTCTCACCAAGACATTTCTAAATGTTTTTGTAAACACAATGGTTGAAGAATACTGAACCACACTAGATAAATATAGTTAACCAGAGTTCAAAGTAATTGTTCTTTAAAAAGTAACAATTTCTAACTACAATTACACATTATTCTTTGATATGCTCAGTGTAAATAAAACCAAGCCAAATGAAACAAAACCAAAACCAGAAACCTGAACAAACACACAGAAACGACCCCCCAAACCCTACCCTTAAATAACAAAGTTTGCTTTAGTCTAAAATGCCACTGAGTTTCAAAAGAAAGTCTTTATCATAGACTGTACAGCTGCAAAAATACACATTAACAACTACAAGATATTTTAGGACAGGAAAGTGTGTTTGGAAATGCAAACATAGTCCCATTTTATACTTTTCTCAGTAAAAACATTTGAGAGAAACTGTGCTGAAGTCAACAAAACATTATTAAACCCAACTCTGTTTTTTAAGGCGATCTCCAGTCAAAAGCTTGACACAGAAGAATACAGAAATGTATTAAGTATTTTATCCTAATTTTCCCTTCCCAAAAGGCCTCCAGTGCTCCTACAGATTGACATGGCTTAGGAAAGCAGTGAGAAGTCTTTATGTTTAGTTCTCACAGAAAATGTGCAATGATTTTTGGTTTTTGCTATCTCAGCCTTTGTACAAAGGATGCTAAAACCCAAAGGAGAGTGATTTCAGTACTGCCCCAGGCCCTTTCTTTATTGCTGATACAGTTCTAAAAGCCCTATTTTGATAGGACAGAAGAATCAAGAGAAAAGAAGAGGTACAGTGAAGAAAAAAATGGGTCACAAAAGTGCAGAAGAGAGGGGGAGAGGCAGGGTAGGGAGGACGCAGGACACACAAAACAGTCGGGGCCCGGGGCCCAGGACTGGCTGCAACTCCAGCGCCAGCTTGGAGTTGTCAGTGCTGTTTCTTCTCCTTCTGTCCTCCCTTCCTGTTCAGCATCTCAGGGGGCTCACCTATCCTCCACATAAGAACAACCTGAACACTAAGAATAGTTAGAACAGACAAAGCTGTAAATATTACTTTAAAATTAATAGCTGGAGTGGGCAGCCCGAAGATCAAGGGCTACCACATGTGGTTTGCAGTTCTGCAAATAAAGACTTTCTCTCCCACAGAAACCCCTCCCAATACTGAGCAGCTTTGCCTAAACAAGGATTTGAAGACTCTGCCACATTACAACAGACTATATCCTCTTTCACTGTATCCAATACAGTAGAACTGGCATCTTCCACCTCTCCTAAAAACCGAGGAGGGAACAGCACAGTGTCTTGGGACATCCACAGAATGTGAGGCAATCTAAGGGATGGCAGTGGGTTTGTCTGCATCAGCAGAGCTCCTCTGAGTCCTGCCCTGCTGCTCCTGAAGCCTCTCAGGATTCAAGTTCCTTCAGCCCAGAGCTCCCAGTTCCAGGGAGTGTCCCAGTATTTAGACAGCTCCCAGTCCCAGTTCTGCTGCTCCCAGCAGCAGACACCTTCCTGTATTTGTGTATGAAAGCATCAGTCTTGCCAAGGCTAATGGCATAGACATCCTCTGGCAGCAGAGACCCAAAATGTCTGTAGATAATGGGTTCTCCACCTCCCTGTGCCAAGGAAGACGAATTCCCATACACGCTCGGGGCTGCTCCACTGTCACCATCAGCAGAGGCACCTTCAGCACACCTGGTCAAACCATCCAAGGCTTGTGCAGGGGCTGCTCCACTGTCACCATCAGCAAGGTCACCTCCTGCACACCTAGTCAAACCATCCATGCGTCTGTGGAGCTCCTGGCTCAGCAGCAACACCAGGGTCCCTCCAACACGAAGCACTCTGGCAATCACAGGAAAAAGAAAGGTTAGGTGTTGATCCCTCCTGGCATCCCTTTGCTTGTGCAGAACTTTGCCACTGCTGACACTTCAGATGCCACCTGCATTCAATGAAACACCTGAACACGTCACAGCTCAGCTCAGTGAGCTGCACCTCCAAGGGGAATTTAAATCCCAGATCTTCCTACCTCTTTCTAAATGGGAGAACATAAGACCCTGTCCTGACTCCAAAACATTTCTGATGTTAGCAGTTCTTTCTATTGGGTTAGCAGGGAAGAGGGACTTCTTTTTTACCCCCCTCAGCATTGTTCCAAGGATTGAAACCATCAAGCCCAGGGTTTTTGGAGATTGCAAAGGAACCCTTGCCTCCCAGTGCAGCAAGGGCTGCTCAGATTAGTAGGGCAAGTCTGAAACTGGCCCTTCCTTTTGGAAACTTTAAAAGGCCTGCCCTTTCCCTGTTCCACTGATCCTTAATGCCTTGCAAACTCAGGAAGCAGAGGAAAATTAACCATTGCTTACAATTAATTTTTCTAGGTATATGTCCTAACATTACATATGGCTTTGAAAGAGGGGAAAAAAATACTATCCTGACTCAGTTTACAGCAAGTGGTTTGTACAGTTTTACTGATGAAGCTCTCATGGTAATGGCCCCTTCCTCATCTCCACCTTCCAAAGGGAATATTTTACTTAGGATGGACCAACAGAGCAAATAAGGCCAGAAGACAAGCATGGTAAGATTGCCACATCACTCCATGGAGCCATGCCACCTTATCCACCGTTTTCCCACATTGGCTGAGTGACATCAACACCCACTGAAGAGCAGTCCTAGAGAACAGGCTTCTGTTCAGGCAAGAAATAGAGGGGAAGATGGCTTGACCTGTATATTAGAAGCAGCCCAGCTATCACCTTGGCCCACCTTTGCCACCAAATGACACGGTGAGAGATGAAAGAACACACCTAAAACCAACCCAGGCTGCTAATGAGGCATTTCTGGACAGCAAGGACAATGCATACTACTTCTTGTCTGAGATACTTCCTGCCAAGGCAGGCTGGTCAAAGCTTGGCTGTGACCTCAAAAAGGAAAGACTATGATTTTATACATGCAGGCCTCAGCTGAAAAATGATTATAGCGTAATTTGCCGGGCTATGCTTTAACTTTGTCCTGGTAGGCCTCTCCTCTTTCTTCTTTCTCCCACACTTTGGAGTGAGGCTCAGAAACATTCCACCATCATGCCTTGCAAAGAGGATTTGCGGGCATGGCTTACACAGGATCCTCCTCTGGAAGCTGTGCTGCCATCAGCACTCACTGCTGGTGAGACACAACACAACAGCCTCCAAGGGACAAGTAAAGGGCCGAGACTGCCACAGCCTGCAGGGTCACACTACAGAGCTGGAGACCATGGAATAAAGCAGATCTGAAGCTGACTGAATGCTCAAATCACAAACTGCCATGGCACTTCCATCAAACCCTGAGCGTGCCAAAGGCCACACATACCTCTGCATTTCCTGGAGAATATCTGGCAGGAGCTGGGCATCACTTGTGGTCTTGAACTTCTTCCCAAATGGAATATCCGAAATAACGCTGTCAAAGCTTTCTGAAGGCAATGGCAGTGCTGCAGAATAAAGGCAGGTCTTTATTTATCTCTGACTGTGTGAAAAATGCACAGCAGCTATGCCCCTGTTCCCCCTTCAACACTGCCTGCCAGCTGTTTGGGTTATGCAGATTCACATAACCCACATTTTGGGTTATGCAGGTGCACAGCTCCTTCTGCACTTGTCCTCAGAAACTCCACCATGGAGCCACCACCCGTCTGCAGATGGGGAGGAGACAAATGTGTGGCAGCACGGTTCAGTCTGCAGAATCTCCACTCCTGAGGATGTCTGCCCCTGCAGCAAGACTCTCCTATAGGGCACTACATGGTCCCAAATTAACTGTGGCCTCTCAACACTCAGCACATCTTCAACATGAAAATCATTCAGGAAAACACAAAAGAAGAGCTAAGTTTTTGAGCACTTTATTCAGTGCAAATGTTCAAGTGCACATGTACGTACGGCAAGGAATCGCCCCATATGCCTCTCCATCCCCCTTTTCTCCCCCCAGGAATCTAGTTACAGCCAGCATCACTTGGATTCTGTCACAGCTCGTGCCATTGAAATGTCACCTTAGAGCTTCTGCATCCCAGCTGAGGTCAACTCCCCTCAGGAAGATGCAGCACTGTGCCTGTGGTGATGAAGGTCAGCCACGTGCCAGGCTGTGCAGGCAGGCTGAGACCCCTCCTTAGATCCTGGGATTCCATCCATCCTGTGCCACGTTGTGCAGGCCAGGCTGAGACCCTCTCCTCAGATCCTGGGGGTCCCTCCATCCCTCAGGGTGCTCCAAACTGACTGGACACAGCCCTGAGCAGACAGCAGGACTAAAGACTCCCAACAGTCCTTCCTCACCAAAACTCTGCTGAGATTCTATGCCAACTTTTCTACAACTAGCTGGAGATGCTTCCTGGACCATTCTTGGGTCAACACTTGCAGCACAACAATTGAGTATCAATTTTATCTGCAGATGAAAGGACACATCACCTACAGCCCTGCTCAAGACACGCAGAAGTAACAGCTTCTGACCAGTGATGAAGACACCAGCTTGTTCAGTTTAGAAAACCTGACAGCCAAGTACCTTCCATTATCCTAGAAACCAAAGTCAAACACAGCTTTTAAGAGAGAAATAAACCTACATTTTAATAGAAAAACAAATAATATTTCTTACCATTCCAGTAAGAAATAAATACTGCAAGGTAAAAAAAAAAAAAATGTGCACTTCATCACTTGTGCACAGGGAAAAACAGCCAGCTTGCCTGTCGTGGATTTCATATATGCATAATTTAGCCTCTGAAGTCCAGAATAAGGTCATGAAATTATCCCTTCTCTACAGACTAGCCTGTAAATTAAAAGCAAACAGATTCCCTCTTAGAGGAGAAAAGCATCATCATTCAAAATACTCCTACTGCAAAACATGAACAATTCTGCTCAGCTTAATGAGTTCTCACCATTACTCACCTAGTAAATTTAAGCTACAGGCTGCATTTCATTTGGATTTGTCCTGGCTGTGTTCCACTAAGATACAAAGAACACTCACATGGTTCATACTCTTTGTGGTATTGTGGTGGTAAATCACACATTTACCATGAAGAGAGACTACTGTCCATGCCAGACAATTGTAATTTTTATGCTGACTTCATTCTTATCAAAGTTCCAGGTGCAGGCAGCAGGGAGGAAGAACAAATAATTATCCCTTCACTAGCACCACCACCAGAGCCACCACCCAGGTATTTGTTGGGAGTTAGCTCCGCAACATATCACCTCAAGAGAACCTACCTGTACAATCCCAGAAACAAATCACCTGGAAAGCCTACAGACATACCTTTCACAGAAGCTTTCAGCAGCTCAATCTTGTCCATGAAACATGCAGCTCTGATATTGCCATCTGCACCCTCTAACTGCGAGTCACTTATATCAGCACCCCAGTAATAGGCTTCCTGTCCAGAGAAAGAGAGGAGTAATTTTGTTAACACTCGAGATACTTATTTTATAAACCCTTCTCAGAACTGCCTTGTTGCAGAGCTCTTAGAAGGCAGTCCCCTTCCTGGGACACCTGCTGTTGTTACACAGAGCAATTCACAATGTAGACAGTAAAGGAACAGAGGAAGTATATGCTCCCTCCACGCCTTTAATGTTCGGAAATATTAATGTTCAGAAGTATGTGCTGTCTCCATTCCTTTAATGTTCTGGTCTACTCAAGACACTTGAAATGATAGAAATATCAAGAGCATATCCTAACAGCACGATCCCAGCTAGATACAGCCAGCCCCACTGTCCCTAATGCTGACGAGTGTCCCATGATACCAACTCCTCCGACCTCAGGACAAGTCCAGGAAGCTTCACAAGCTTGTGGCTGTCTCACACAAACTCTGCAGTGGGAATCACCAGCTGCACCCACCCTGCAGGACATGTTCATCTGGGGGAACCTTTGCACTGAAACACTTCTAGCAGCTGCCTAGAAAGACTGGTTTGGTTTCACCTTTCTAGCCAGCAATGGGCTTTGGCCTAACTGGCAGAGAGAAAACCCTGTCCCACAAGTACCAGTTTCCCTGCAGAGGTCCAGAAGCTGAGACTGGGATACTCACAGGCCACTCCTTGGCAGCCTCCAGCAGGATTGTTCCAAGCCCACACATGGGATCCAGCACAAGGGCACCAGCCTGCAGAAACAGAGGGGTTACTGCATCCCCAGCAAGACAGATTCCTCAGGACAGAGCTCAATCCCTCTGAACTCAGCATAGGTTAACAATCCCAGAGGGATGTGCACAATCCCACTGAATCCAGCACAGGTTAACAATATTCTCTGGTAATCCCAGGCCAAACTCGCCTGTTAGGGAATATGGTAAAAAGCACCAATAGCTTCACTGCAGACAGCCCTGAGGTGACAGTCAAGAGGAAATATTACAAGTGGACTGCAGACAGACATTAGTACCAAATTAATCTGTGAGAAGAGGTCACATTTCCTTGGAAAACAACACCAAACAAGGTTTCATTTTCTCATTATTACTGAACAGCAGAAAAAAATCTTGCCACTGAGACATGTACCTGTCCAAGGATTAGGGTTCTGTCCAAGGATTAGCTCTGCTGAGAAGCACCTGGAATTACAGCAGACACCTGGCTGAACTGCAGGTGACAGCACATTCCTCACAGGCATGGCAGAACCTGTCCACATTCACTAGGGAATGGGGCACTGAAATCACCCCACTCCTTCCCAGTGAATGGGGAGAATGAGGCACTGAAATCACCCCACTCCTTCTCATTGAATCAGGCATTGTAATTGCCCCACTCCTTTCAAGCCCCCATGAGCAGCACCCCCTTCCTTCATTCAGGACCCATTTCTTGGCAAGGAACATTCACTGACCCTGATTTCAGCCAGAGATGCCATGGCCCATGCCACTGTTGACCGCAGTCCTGATGTTCTGATATACTCTCTGTTTGCCAATGGCAGCCTGCAGACAACAAAAAACCAAAATAATTAACTTAAACAGCAGCAGAACCACCCAGCAAAGCCCATGTAATGTCAAGGAACAAATGAACTGCACAGATCTCCTGAGAGACAGAGACGTCTGCTTTTAACCATAACTCACTGCCTGTTGAAACTCAAAATGTCCCTCAGACATTTTTGGAGGTTCTGGGTCTAGGTCAGAAGCATTTGAGATCCTGGCAGGCAGCTGGAAACAGCTGTGATTTTGGATTTGAGCCGTGGAATGATTTACCAACCTTGCAGGAAGAATAAGAAGTCACAAAAGTTTACATGTTATAGTAGAAGTAGTCACAAAGTAAAGGGAAGAATTTTTGAATGCTGTACAGGGAGGTTTTGGTTTTGTACATGGGGGTCAGAGGTTTTAAGATGGAGGGATTTGGGCCTGCCCTGTCCTCCCTCTTTCTTCTTCCTTACCTCCATGTTCTTGGTGATGTTGGCACTCACAGATTGGTTTAGAGTAGAAAAGCACCATTTAATATAGGTAGTAGGTATTGGGGAAAAACTGTAAACATGTAACACGTAATGTACCACATAAAAGACAGCAGCAGCCCAGGGGCAGGGAGAGAGAAGAAGATGGGAGACAGAGAGGATGTCAGGGGTGTGTGTGCCTTTGCCTGAGCTGCTGAGCAAACCACAGCAGCCCGAGAAGAAAATCTTTTAGATAACTTGCAATAAACAACCATGAGACCAGACAACAAGAGACTACTGAGCCTCTCTTTGGAAGCACGGCTTGGAGGAGCAGTTTTCCCACCACACAAAGCCACCCCGCAACCTACGGTGGTCTTCGGCAACTGCCAAGCCTGGTCTGTGTGTTCATTTAAAACCCAGGCAGATCACAAGACTAATTTGACAACAGTGATGACCAAACCAAAAGATAAATACTCATGGTGGACAGCAAGATTTACAAATCCTGCCTGCTCTGATACTGCCAGGACAAATCTGGTGGGGAGAATACTTACCTGAAAAGAGGAATCCCGACCACAGACTGAATGTCATTAAGATGTACAAAGATCTAAAAGAGGACAAAAAAATCAACCCAAATATTTTAAAGTCTCAAATTGACAAAACAATAGCTTTAACTCATTTAACCCAGACACAGATGCTTCTACAAACTTCTGATTTCAGTTTTTAAGAACAAGAATGGACACTATAAACAATAACAATAAATTGGAAGAAATCCCACTAGATTATCTGAATGCCACTTTAAAGATTATTTAATGCTTAATCAAGCTGAAAGGGATTTTGTCAGCCAGGAATCCATCAGCAAGCACTTGAATTCATAAGGGGGGCTATTTTTTCTTAACACAGCATGGGAATTTTTAATTATAAATCCATTTACTACAAGTGGGAGAATATTATTCCCTGTGTACTAGCAACAAAATAAATAAAAATGAAAAAAACCAATACAAAACCCAAACAAAAAAAATCTAACCATAAAAAAAAAAAAACAACAAAAAAAACCAAAAAAAAACCCAAGAAAACCCAAACACCACCAAACAAAAAAACCCAAAACAGACAACATCACCAACAAATAACCCCACCATTACCCCCACTACTGCTACTAAGGGGCAATTCAGATAGAAGTTACATGTCAGTAATCATTCCAGAAATGCAGGCAGCTACAAGAAATTGTTCTGCTGTCCCATAGAGAGCATCCCAAAAGAAGACTGAGCTCCCCAGCAGGTATTGCATAACTGCAATCCCTGACCCGAGAAAGCACAAAGGGAAACAAGATACTGCTGAAAAATCCCAGTCCCCAGCACCTGAACAGCTTCAGAGAAAAAATATGGGCACGAACAGGAGGTGCACGTGAGTCTCACCAAAGCTGTACATAGTGTTCAGTGTGGGAAAACCAGTGCCAGTAAACAAACCCAGAGTTTCTGGTCTGGGATCTCTCAGCATCAGAGCTGAGAGCAGCTTCCACAAGCCAAGAGCAGGGATGGACAAACATCCCTGGAGAAATGCTCTTTGTCAGGAGCAAGGAGTTCTCTGGGAGGTGTCCGGGGACAAGCTGGGCTGCAGTAAGGGAGCTGCTTGTCACAGACAGGCCTGGGGGAGGCTCTTCCTTTGGCATTCTCCAGTCCAGCTCCTTGAGAACAGCCCACGCTGCCTGCTTCCCTCCCCTCTAGAAGCCACTGACAGCCCACAGCTCAGGTGAGTTCCATGTTCACAGTCAGAGCCCAGCAGCCTTGTCAGGTGCTGGATCCTCCTCCTCTGGGGATCCGTCCACAGGCAGCCTATGGCTCAGGTGAGTTCCATGTTCACACAGTCAGAGCTCAGCAGTCTGTGAGGGTGCTGGATCCTGAAACTCCTCTAAGGATCCTTCCCCTCCCACACGGGCCCCACAGCCAGGCTGGGTTCATGCCAGAGCCCTGGAAGGCACACACACACCAGGGCCACACACACTTTGCTCAGCACCACCAGCTGATTTCCAGGTAAATTCAAGGGCAGAAAGACCAGCAGGAAGAGGCCATGGTCCCACATGCAAAGGGAGCAGGGAACAAAACCAATTTGAGTGACTCTGGAAGCATCCACAGGCATACAAGTAGCCCTACCTCCAGGTCAGGGTCCCGCAGATCAGCATGCCACCCGCACTGCTTCACCATTGCCGTGCCAATGGCTCTTCCGACCTCCTGTGAGGGGGAGAACAGTCACAGGCGGTAAAAAAACACAGAATTCAGGAAACTGCAGGACACAGCCTCGGATATGCAACCCTCAGAAACTCCGGGGAAAATAAAGAGTCTATGCCTAAGAGAGTAACTCACATAATTCACAGCAGAAAAGGTACAACAGGGCAGAGCAGGTGAGTGAGGGCCAAAGCAAACACACCACATGGCAAACAAACAACGCTCAGCTGCAGTGAGAGAGGAGAGGCTGAAGCTCCAGTCCTGAGTCACAACAAAATATTCACTTGAGCTGCACTTGATCCTTGTGGGTCCCATCCAACTCGGAATATTCTGTGACTGCCATCATTTTGGAACTTTAAATCACATGCACAAAATACTTCCAATAACGCTAAGGCAGATTACCCAACAGAAAACCTGCAAATGCACAACTACACCTCACAGTTTTAATGCTTTCATTACATATGAGAAGCTCTGATTATCTTCAGAGTAGAAGTTCAAATATAGCACAAATTCAGGCAAACACCCTTGTAGGGAAGCTCATGTGTCTCACCTCACCAAGGTACTAGCCTTAGTAGGAAAAAAAAATCTAAAAACCTTCAATTAGGAGAAACCTGCCCAGAAGGGAAGAGGACTGGGCAGAACAGACCTATGGAGGACTGTATGCCACCTATTCTTTCCTAAGGACCAAGTTGCACTTCTCCCAGGACTCATCCCAGGACTGTATTCCTGAAGAACAAATCCTCCCCAATACCCAACCAGAGACAACTGAAGCTGCAAGTTCTGGCTTTTACCCCTTGGTCCAGACTGCCACAGCTGAGAGGAGTCTGGCACCATGATCTTTACAATGGCCCTTCAAGTAGCTGTAAATTATCCAATCACTCCTCAGCCTCCACAGGCCCAGACCCTCAGACTCTTTGCTTATCCTCAACAAAAGGTATTGATTTGAAAAACATGAAGGGCAATAGTGCACAGAAATTAAAAACAGCATCTGTATTTCCACTTGTTTAAGGGGAATGCAGGTTAAGGGCTTTTTGAGAAAATACAGAAAAAGCTTACATCGGTTTATTATTCCAGAAGACACAACACAACTGAAATGACAAATAAACTGCACATCTCTGTTCACCCTTGCTGAATTCTTTTAAAGCAGGTACCTCAGCATACCTGTGAAGTCAGTATTCTGGCAATTGCTCCACTGCAACGACAAGACACTCTGAAGCTAAGCTCCTCACTGGCAGCAGGACCCTCTCCACTGCCTCTGGAAGGGAATTCTGAGGAAGTACTGCTCTCAATCCAGCACTCCTGTCTGCTCATTCTGTCTGATGACTCACAGGTCTCTCCAGCTCCCACCTGACACTCCTCAGACACAATTGCTCTCACTTGCTCTGTTTTCTGCCTTTTACTTGCAGTATTTGTCTCTTCTTCTGACTTTCTCTTCAGAGCCAATGTGTTTTCTTGAGAGCCATTGTCTGTTTTCCCCTTGTGTCCATGAAGCTTTCTCAAAACAGAGATAATATCCAGCCAGTATTTTGGGTCCTCAATGACAAGGCTTTTAATCTCATTAAGTATTTTTCCTGGAAGAAAAAAATCAGATTTGGGTTAAGTACCTCAGCCTCGGCACTTCACTTCCCTAGGAGCTGAGAACAGCTGTTCACAGCAGCTGTGTTCAGATTTCATAATGTGCAACTCCAGAATCACAGGCACAGGTGAGCTCTCAGCACGCACCAGGAGACACACAGGCACCCCTCTCATTACCAGCTCTGCATAACCAAGACTAAATCACACCAGGGTTGAATTCTGTACAAGAATTAGCAGCTGGAGAAAAAAGCACCTGTGAGAGTCATTCCCAGGCACAGAGCAGCAGCCTACCATGCCACCCTCCCCAGAAAGTACTTGGCCCAGGATTAAGTGGTGCAGGACACTTTCCAGAATTGAAAGATAGATACAAACATGAATTACTTTGAGTCATCTCAGGCAAAACCAATTTTATTCTTTCGGAAAGAAAACGTCTGCTTCCCATTTATCACTGTGCCTTCACATGTGGGCAGTCCTAAGCTCGTCACAAGAGAGGCACAAAGAACAGAGAGGTCAATTCACTTACATACATCAAAGCTGGTCAGGGTAAAAAAAATAAAGGGTCTTTCCAGCTCTCACTTAAAATTTTAGAATCATTATCAAATTTCATCCTCAAAGCTGAAGGTAATCTTCCAAATAGAAATCCACCAGCAGGCAGATATTAGTCCATCTAACTTGAAATTCTCCAACACTGACAGAGAGCATGACCCAAGCAGCTGAGACTTAGAAGGAAGCTGTGTACTTAAGTAAACTGACACAAGATATAGGTTGAGATTCACTCAGTCAAAAAGGAAATAAGACTTATAGTTAAAATAAACACAAGAGCTCCAGAACTAAACTTTGGCTTTCGGGTGGAGTGTTCTCTTTTTTGGGGCTGGGTAGGGGAGAGAGTCTCTAGAATACACACATACACTTAGGGCCAGCAGAACACAGGCTGGGAGCTAGTTATTGAAAACAATTTAAAAGCCCTTTTCAGGTAAAAAAAAAAAAAAATGTTGAAAACACACGTGGGTGAAAGACACTTCAGAATCGATTACTATCAATTAGAACTACAGCCACTAGTAAAAAACCAAACACCTCCAATTTTATAATCAGGGCTCAAACCAAGGCTTCCCGTTCCCGCGCAGCCCGTGTCCGTACCTCGGCTCCCGGACACTGGCAGCGGGCCGTGCTTCTTCAGCAGCAGGAACAGCCGCTCCCCCGACCGCAGCCGCCGCAGCTCTCCGAGCCCCGCCGCCGCCCTGAAGAACACTTTTCCCGAGACGCAGTCCACCTCCGGGGAGAACACCCGTCGGACCCGGCTGGGCGGCTCCGGCTGAGCCCTTCCGCTACTCTCCCGGGGCCCCTCGGACCCCGGCCAGCCCCGCGGGCAGCGCAGCCCCGACCCCCACGGGTGAGCCCCTCCGACCTCGGCCAGCCCCGCCGTGGCGGGGAGCGGCACAGCCCGGGCCGTGCTCGCCGAGCTCCCTGCTGAGTCGGACCGGACCGCCCAGGTGGTCACCGTCTCCAGCTTCCCACTCACCCGGACCGGAGAGGACCGCCCAGGTGGTCACCGGCTCCGGCTCCCCCGGACCGGATTAGACCGCCCGGGGAGGCACCGGCTCCGGCTCCCCGCTCCCCCGGACCGGAGCTGGCAGGTACGAGCTCCGGCTCCCCGCTCCCCCGGACCGGAGCTGGCAGGTACGAGCTCCGGCTCCCCGCTCCCCCGGACCGGACCGCCCGGGTGCCCAGCGGCTCCGGCTCCCCGCTCACCTCGGTGGCGCCGAGCCGCGCCCGCACCTCCCGCGCCAGGAAAGGCTCCAGCCCGCGACCCGCCGTGCAGAAGAAGCGCCCGCTCGCTGCCGACGACATCTTGGCGGGGCGGGGCCTGGCCAGGGCGGGGCCTGGCCGGGGTAGGAGTTTAAAGCGCCCGGGTTTTATATTGTTTCCGGATTTATTTTATTTAGCCTCCGGATATCCAACCCGTACGTGCTGTTTGTGCAGGACAAACGCGTTTTCCGTACGGAAATGCCCAGGATACTTGTCACCAGCTGTGCAGTAGGGCGGGCTCAGACACTTGCAATGGCTTTATTCTCTGGGTAATTAGTGCTGTGTACTGATGACTGTATATAAATAATACAGATACACACAGTATAGTACACACGATTGTTTTCGTTCCAAATTTAGGAGTGAAAAAAATACTTTCCATTGTTATTCTACACAAACATTCCAGCGGTTGTTTTGGTATGACCTGCAACTTCAAAGGAAAAAGGACAGGCAAATAGATCTATTCAGAACTCTAAATTCACTATGTAGTAAATTACACAAGATAGATACCAGCCAGCAGAATACCGAGGATCTGAATTCAGTACATTAGTGACTCCTCCTCCAAGGTAAAAGAGAAAAATATTGCAAAAAAAAGAAAAGCTAGGAGCTTGCATTCTGCAACTAAGATAAATAATGTATGTTACAGCTTTTTCATCAAACGTTTGTAAATAGGTTTACAACTTTAGGCAAAGAAAATAAAGCTTTTGAGTTGGTCCTTGCACCCTTCACACATAAACAGTACTGTAAAGGTGTGAGGACCTCAGCAAGCACCTGCATTTCATGCTCAAAAGCTTCAGCATGGATTTCATAGTGTTTTTGTATGGTACATACTCTGTTATTAAGGCTAGTGTGCAAAAAAGATTCTCAGCCACAGAACCTGCTTCTGTAATTCTCTAAAAGTTATTAGTAACATTCCTAAAGTTTAGCAGGCCTGTGTGAGATTATTGAAGAAAAAGAAATCCTCCTTGTATTTCCCCTCAATGCTGCCCACAGGCCCTGCACCTGGACTGATGGGTGAGAAAACACCGGCAGTAGCCTGCACAGCCAGCCAGGTGTGGAGAAACGTGGGCTGATACGCACTTAAGTTTACTTCAAAATATAGAAACATTTTAAATACATAAAATACTTTAATATATAAATATAGATTATAATATATATAATAAAATACAATAATATTTTTAAATATACAAACTATTTTAAATGGCACAACCCTTGGCACAGGTGCATCTGACAGTGTAAACACAAATATATGAGGCACAAACCATTCAGGCCAGATCTTTTTTTATGTATCTTGCAATCACTGTCTTCAATTCTTGTTGTCAGATAAATGCTACAGCTTGTCAGCCTGTAAGAAAAATCAAAGTCAAAACAATTCTGGAGCTTTCTCAGTATCAGACCACTGTACTTTCCCTACAATTTAGGTTTTGATCTTCCACTCCTGACACTGCTTAAATTATTTTATTTTTAAAAACATAAACATTAATTTTCCTTTTCAAGATTTGAGACTCAATTATAGGAAACAGTTAAAACTGTATAGTGTATTTTGGAATAAATATAAGTGTCTGAATATTCTAACATTGAATTTTAATAAGGCCTGTCAGGATCAGAGTTTTTGCTATTCAGGGACTTAAAAATACAACAAACTTGAAGGCACAGACTGTTCAAATAGTGAAATTAAGCAGATAGAAACCAGCATTCTGCCTGGAATTAATTCTTTTGCATTTGGACACTTCAAGCTATGATAGCATTTACAGGGAGATTTGGATTTAAGTGACTAAGTGTAAGGGACACAGCTTTTCAACTCTGGTAATTCTTCAGACATTCCATGTGCTCTTACTGGAATATATTTGCTTTTTCAGGGTTTGAGTCATATATTCTGAGCAAACGAGAAAAGAAAAAATGCTGGTTCCTATAAATTAAATATAGACTAGATGAAGAAACTGGGATTTTCCATACTAGACTAAAATTAGGCATCAGCAAGTTATAAAAGCAGTAAATTTGAGGTCGGTATCCAGAGTTTTGCAATACAAAATGCATTGCTTTACACAGTGGCTCCTGTTTCATTGCATATAGTAAAAAGCTAGCACTGGCATTTACCTCACTTAATTCACAGAACAGACTTAGATTGACACTGCATAACATCCTTATTCACTCAGTAGATTAAATTAAAAATGAACTAAACAAGATAAAATTTAAAAACTAATTAAAAATTCTTAGTTCACTCCCTAGGTAAATCCATGCTGCTCTTTAAGTAACATGCTCTTTCAGTCAAATAGGACAGCGCAGACTTGAACAGTCTTCTGCTTCTGAGAAGTTGCTTTTACCTTGATTGCCAGCTAAATCTGTGTGAGAATTAGTAATTTGGGAATTACTAATGGAGAACAGAGCTTTTATCTGGAGTCTGAAAATGCCATATGCAATCAGAAGGAACCAAAGCGTTTGGAGAAGACAGAAACACTCAAGATTCTCATGGAAAAGCTTTCAGTATAAATGTCTGAGGATTACTTATTTAATATTTTCATGCAGTTGTGTGTATTATTCAACAGACAAGACTCAAATAATGTAAGATGAATGAAAAAGATAATGAAAGTGTAAATTAGCACCCACCCCCTCTCCATGATGGTATTTAATAAACAGCCAACAGGTGTGAAAACATTAGATTGTATTGTTCTTACTTAGTTCAATATATTCAAATACAGAAATATTTTCTGGACTGTTTAAAAGCTTACCCAGGAGAAAAAAAAAAAAAAAAACAACCAGAAAAATCACCATACAAATCCTGCTCTAAAATGCATAATCTTTAACAATACATGAAATTTTACTACAATAGGTTAAAGTTTCTTCTCTAAAGTGTCCTCTCTAAATAAAATTTAAACATCAAATTAATACAGAAATAGAAACTTGAGAATAAGCTCATACAATAAACTCATACAAGGGTTCTTCTCATCGCCATCATTCACAGGACAACACAACTAAGTCACAATTGTCCCCAGTTGTCCACAATCTAATCAACAATTGTCACAACTCAGACTTGAACTTCGGTGTCTGCTGCTAAGTGCATACGCACAATTTTATGTCTCTATGAGCAGGATAAGGCCGATAAATGTATCCTGTTAGACATAAACAATACAGCCTAAAGGAATTAGTGAGTTCCTTCAGGAATCGTAAATTAACATTTAAAACTAAACTGAATGCAATTTCTTTAAAATCATGGGCTGAGAGGAATAAGCCTCTTTGTAAGAGTCAGAATTCATTATTACATAAAGGAAACTTCCACACAAAATGAATGCCATGTCAGTGAGGGAAGCATACACCAGCAGTCCAAATCCCTGCATGACTGAAGATGCCAGTTCACTAATAAAACTGAAGTCGAATCTCAAAGAAACATTTACAGTCATACAAATCCATTACACTAAATCCACGTTCATATCCTCACTTTAAAAAAGTCACAACATAGTATCTAGTGAGTGCGTTCAGCTTGTCAATTTTGATTTCAACCATCTAATTTGGACATGGATCAGAAATCTTCTCTACCTGCTATAAAACACAAAGTAAAAAGCAAAACTCTAGAGAACATGACAAAAGTGTTAACTCTCACTGAAAAGTGTAATTAAATAAACTTCAGCCTCATCACAAAAGTTGGAATTGGGGGGTGGGGGGTGGGGGGGGTAGGGTAGAGAGGAAGAATCAAAATTCATGGGGGAAAAACCAAAGAAGTATAATTTAATCTCAGAATGTTTACCTTGGAATGGACCTTAAAACTTGTCCAGTCCCATCAACCTGCCAGGGCAAGGGACACCTTCCACTGTCCCAGGCTGCTCCAAGCCCCGTCCAGCCTGGCCTTGGGTACTGCCAGGTACCCAGGGGCAGCCAGAACTGCTCTGGGCACCCTGTGCAAGGGCCTGCCCACCCTCCCAGGGAAGGATTTCTTCCCGAGATCCCATCCCTGTCCTCTGGCAGTGGGAAGCCATTCCCCTCGCGATGTCCTCCAGGCCCGTGTGCCAAGCCTCTCTCAGGCTCTCCCAGAGTCCTGGAAGGGGCTCTCCCTGCTCCTTCTCCTGTCTCCTTTCTCCTCTCTCCTCTTTCCTTTCTCCTTTCTCCTCTCTCCTCTCTCTCCTCTCTCCTTTCTTCTGTCTCTTTTCTCCTCTCTCCTCTCTCCTCTCTCCTCTCTCCTCTCCCCTCTCTCCTCTCCTCTCCTCTCCTCCCCTCTCCTCCTCTCTCCTCTCTCTTTTCTCCTCTCTCCTCTCTCCTTACTCCTCTCTCCTCTCTCCTCTCTCCCCACTCCTCTCTCCTCTCTCCTCACTCCTCTCTCCTCTCTCCTCTCTCCTCTCTCCTCACTCCTCTCTCCTCTCTCCTCTCTCCTCTCTCCTCTCTCCTCTCTCTTTTCTCCTCTCTCCTCTCTCCTATCTCCTCTCTCCTCTCTCCTCTCTCCTCACTCCTCTCTCCTCTCTCCTCTCTCCTCTCTCCTCACTCCTCTCTCCTCTCTCCTCTCTCCTCACTCCTCACTCCTCTCTCCTCACTCCTCTCTCCTCTCTCTTTTCTCCTCTCTCCTCTCTCTTTTCTCCTCTCTCCTCTCTCCTCTCTCTCCTCTCTCCTTTCTTCTGTCTCCTTTCTCCTCTCTCCTCTCTCCTTTCCTCCTCTCTCCTCTCTCTTTTCTCCTCTCTCCTCTCTCTTTTCTCCTCTCTCCTCTCTCCTCTCTCCTCTCTCCTCTCTCCTCTCTCCTCTCTCCTCTCTCTTTTCTCCTCTCTCCTCTCTCCTCTCTCCTCTCTCCTCTCTCCTCTCTCCTCTCTCCTCTCTCCTCTCTCCTCTCTCTTTTCTCCTCTCTCCTCTCTCCTCTCTCCTCACTCCTCTCTCCTCTCTCCTCTCTCCTCACTCCTCTCTCCTCTCTCCTCTCTCCTCTCTCCTTCCCTCTCTCCGCTCCTTCTCCTCCCTCAGCTCCCGGTCTCACGGCGCCGCCTGGCGGGCCCGGCGGCGGCGCGCGCATGCACGGTGCGCGGTGCGCGATGCCGTTGCCATGGCAGCGGGTGCCAACCGGGAGGTGCCGCCATGAGCCCGCCCGAGGTGGAGCCGCTCGTGTGCCGCAAATACGAGATCAAGAGGCGGCTGGGCAAGGGGGTGAGTGCCTGGCGGGGGTTGGCCTGGCCGGGGCCGGCCCGAGCTGGGGTGCCCTGTGGGAATTGGAATGGTTCCGGAGCTCGGAGGGCCCTTGAGAGCTCGGGGGGCCCGTGTGGCGTTCAGGGCACCGTGAGGGCTCCAGGCTGCCCCGGGGAGCTGTGGGGGTGTTTGGGAGTTCAGGCGCCCGTGGGAACTCTGTGGCTCAGGGCCCGCTGGAAGTTCCAGGGGAGCTCCGGGGGACTGTAACAAGTAAATAGTAACATGGATCTGAGTCTCAAAGTACATTCTTTCTGTGCCTGCCAAATCCTGCATTTACTGTAACCCCATCACTTCAGATCATGCTGCATCAAGTCATGTCTTCGCCATAAAATGTATTTTTATACATAAGCCAGTGGTAATTTCTAAGATATGTCTCCTGAGACAGTCTCTAAGCCCTCCTGAGTTATCTGCTTTTCTATTCTGGCAGCTCTTTGCTATCATTAATTGCGTTGATACATATTTAAATGTTTAAGTATTTCCCTCATTATGTTCAGAGTCAAGGAGTCACTGAGGTGGAAAAGCCCTCTGAGCCTGTGGAGTCCAGCCATTCTCCCAGCACTGCCAAGGCCACCACTGACCCCTGTCCCCAGGTGGCTGTTAAATCCCCCCAGGAATGGGGACTCCCCCCTGCCCTGGGGCAGTCTGTTCCAGAGCTGCACAGCCCTTTGCAGGAGAGATTTTTCCAATACCCAACCTCAGCCTCCCCTGGCACAACTTGAGGCTGTTTCCCAGTTGCCAGCAGGGTAGTATTGTAGCACTTACCTGAGGTACTTGTACAACTGTTTATACTGCCTGATGCTGGCAAAGGTCCTGGAGCTTGGCACCAGGACCACACATGTTGCTGGGAAGCCTGCCTTGGTATCCTTACATGAGTGTTTAATCACTAGAATCACACATTGCAGCTCTTTTGCTTTGGATAAGTATTTAAACATTAAATGGGCATTTTTGAGTGGGATGTGATCCCTTTGTGCAAAGGTATAGCAACTCCTAGGTTGTGGAAAGTCCAGATTAAAATCTATGGCCTAAAATAAAAAAACTGGATCTGTACTACAAGTGAGACTGAGTAATCATCATGTGCAAGTATCACAGTCATCCAGAATAGGGAAACCTCAGATAGAAGTTCCCATTCCCTTAACAGTCAACACAGCTTTTAATTGAAAAAAAGGTTTAGTGTTGGACCTGACAGTGCTATGGTAGTGGTTGGACCCAGTGGTTTTGGAGGGCTTTTCCAACCTCAACAAATCTGGGATGCTGTCACTATAGACTTTGGTAAAAAGTCTCTCTCCATCCTTCTTACTGCCCCCCTTTCAATTCTGAAAGAGCACAGTAAGTTGTCCTTGGAGCCTTCTCTTCTCCAGACCGAACAGCACAGGTGTCCCTGCCTGGCTCCAGAGCAGAGGGACTCCAGCCCTCGCAGTGTCTCCGTGGCCCTTCTCTGCAGCTGCTCAAACTGCTCTGTGTCCTTCTTGTACTGAGCAGTGCCAAGCTGGATGCAGTGCTCTAGCTGGGAATCTCACCAAAGCCAAATGCAGGGAAGACCGATCTCTCTTCACCTGCCAGCCACACCATGGCTGGTACAAGCCAGGTGCCACTGGCATCTTGCCACCTGGATACACCTGGGCTCACGTTCAGCCACTGTCACCAGCACCACCAGGTTCTTTTCCAGCTTTCCAGCCACTCTGTCCCAAGCCTGGCATGTTTCATGGGGTTGTTGTGACCCAAGAGCAAGACCCTGGCCCTGCTGACCCACGCACCATGGGGATGGATGGCCCATCCATCCCATCCCATCAATGCAGCCCTCCAGGTCATGCTGTCACAGAGGGAGATCAGACTGTCAGGCAGGACCTGCCTGTCACAGCCTGGCACCAGCTGGGCCCAATCCCCTGGTTTGTGGAGTTCTGGCTGTCCTTCTCTTGGTGTATCCCAGGACGTGGTTGGCTGGCTGGGCTGCTAGTGCATGTTGTCAGCCAATTGCCAGGTTTTCATCCATCAGCACCCCCAAGTCCCTCTCAGGGCTGCTCTCCATACAGAGTCCTGAAACCACAGAACATTCTGGGTTGGAAGAGACTCTAAAGCCTACTCATTCCCTCCCCCTGCCATGGGAGGGACACCTTACACTAGACCTGGTTGCTCCAAGCCCCATCCAGCCTGGCCTTGGACACTTCCAGCAATGGGGCAGCCACAGCTTCTTGGGGCAACTGGTTCCAGGGCCTCACCACCATTATAGGGAAAGATTTATTCCCAAATCCCATCTAAACCCTGCCCTCTGGCAGTGGGAAGCCCTTCCAACTTGTGTTGTCCCTCTAGGCCCTTATCCAGAGTCCCTCCCAAGCTCTCTTGGAGCCCCTTCAGGCACTGGAAGGAGCTCTGAAGTGTCCCTGCAGCCTTCTCTACCCCAGGCTGAACAGCCCCAACCCTCTCAGCATGTCTCCTGAGTCTGTCTCCTTGGCCTAATCTCTCTGTGTTCCATGTGGCGCCCATCACCTCTGCTCCAGTCCATCACTGAGCACGTTCTGGTTCCACACCAGGCCCGGGCTGCAGCAGGTGCCAGCACTCTGCTCACCTGTCCCTGCTTCTCTGCAGGCCTACGGCATTGTCTGGAGAGCAACCGACCGCCAGACAGGAGAAACAGTTGCTGTTAAAAAGATTTTTGATGCTTTCAGGAACCGAACAGATGCTCAGGTGAGAAATTACTGTGCTGATGTGTTCTGAGACGTGGTGGGATTCCATAGGTATTTTCAGGACTTTGGTCTCTGAAAGGTAATCATGCACAGTCTGCATATATTGGGATATATAATTATACAATCTGCAGCTATATTGGGATAAAAAACAAGCAAGAAATATCAAGCTTTGTGTATCATGGCATGTACAAAAGAGGAGTGGATTTAACCCTGTCATTGAACTGCATCTCTGTTCTTCTCTTTTCTTGAGGTGATAATAAACTGTTTTTTCTTTATTTCTAGAGAACATTTCGAGAAATTATGTTCCTGCAGGTAATGTCCATATTCCCCCTCTTCTCTGATTTTTTATTATCTCTGATGTCTAAGTATTTTCTTCCCATTGTTTTCCAAAATACAGCAGTCACTGATTAGTGTTGATAACTCTTCGATTTCTTTTCTGCACCATCTGAAAGGCAAAGTGCCTTTCAGGGTGAACCCACCTGAATGGAGGACTCTCCATTTGGGCTTGTTTTTACTCTTTCCCCATTTTTAGCAATGTGCTGCTCAGCACATCAGCACCTTCTGTAGCTTCTTGCTGCTTTGCGGATAGAAACTGTTTCTCTTACATTTAAACTGCCATGACTGGAGGATGTTTGGGGTGGGAGAGGGATTTACACTCCAAAATTGTTTTCCTCCATCATGCTGTAAGCAATTTAATAATTTAAAATAATCAAACCAAAAGAAAATGGGAAGTTCTGCAAGGAATAACTTAAGATTACTCTTGTTTTGATATGATTTACCTTATCAGTGGCATTCCAGTTATCTGTTCACTCCTCCTTAGGCTTACCATGTAGAAACATCAATATTTTGGAATAATATTGTTATAACTTGTGATTTTCTAAGGACACAAGTGAGGCAGGGCTCATAGAAGAGGAATTTCCTAAGACTGCCAAGGTTAAGTAGGAAAGAGATTTTTTTTTTTTACTTTTTAGTCATTCTTGAAGGATGAAATAGAAGCTGCAATCTTTAAAGCTAAAAATGCGAACAGTTCCTTAGAAGTGAACTACCT